AATTTTTTTTATTCCGCCAAATCAACCAATTTAGCCTCGCAAAATATACAAAAAATGGCTACGATTAATGGGTATAAAACGTTCCTGGTACCTAAAACTTTGAAACAAAAATTACAGCATCTAAAAGCCTCATTATTGCTTGCTATACCAAGTTATACCACAAACGTTTCATGCTTGGAATCGAAGTGGTTTTGCATTTACAAATAAAAGTGTGAAGTAAGGTACATCCAATTAGGACGTCACGCCAACCGGCACATAAGCTAAACAGACGTCTAGCCATGGAAAAAACTGATAGTTAAAACATTCTTGAGAATTAACTTGGTAGCTATAGCGTTGGAAGAATACAAAGAATATGACTACAGCTGCGCGTTACGAGATGCATGTTGACCTTTTGAACCGATAAAACCGGAGTATATAAAGCATTATATATCTTAGATAAATGTCACAAAAATGCTAATAAATAACTGCATGTCACAAACGCCGCGGTGTCCACTTAGTGTATGATATTCTTTCATGCAAAAGCATTTTAACCTTAATTTATAATATCTGGGTATAGTAATGATTGCATCCATGCAGTTCATGATCAGGTTCAGCACGTACGAGTTCAAGAGCATGAATCAGAAGTGAAACAAACTTCGATGTCGCATGTTATATTTTACCGTAACGGCGTCCGCCAGTCTGTCACGCTACGGAAGGAATTGAATCAAATACGTAGTACTTATAAACTTGAAATATATACCTTATTATCTGAACATATGTGTTATAAGTTTATTGTACATGCATGTGCAGTGTAGGTATATGTACAACAGAAATTTGGCTTCTGTTACAATGGTCGCAACACTCATGACACTCGTTGGTGTGGCTGCATTCCTGTTTCTATAATCCTTTTGAGCACTTTCACTAAACAGGTAAATGATGCAGTGGTCCGCAACCTGCGAAGAGTTAGTCACGCAAACCTGTTAGTAAATTTTAAACATAAGCAATACTATGGTTATTGTCAGTTGAAATCTTTCCATTATTGTATAGCAAGTGTCAAAGTTCAATTATTGTACTTGCCCATTGGGCAAACCATATCACGTGCCGAATCACAAAACGTCAAAAAAATACTGAAGTAGAAAACTGGGTACATGATTGTCGGCTCTCGACAGCGATTCTACTACGTCATCAGTCACGTCACTACGGAGTCACATGAGAAGCGTGTGCGTGCTTCGCTGATCAGTGCTTGCAGTTTGTTGATCAGAACACTTTTGTGATTTCTCCTCTTTGACTTTGCTAAAATTCAGAAGAATTTTGACGAGTAGGTAAGACATAACGGAGGCTTTCGTGGAACACAAAACCGTAAGTATAAAACTTTTATATATATGTGTGTATTTTAGTTCCACAACAGATATGGCGACTGACAACACAGAACAGATTGTTTCCCAGCCGAATGATCTCGAGCCCCAGGACACACAACAGTCCGAAACTCCACAATTGGCTCAAACATTAGTTGATCTAAATCAAACTATGAGCCACATGGCAATGATGCTGGGCGACTTATGGCAAAAGTCTCAGGACACAAATGTAGAGTCATTTCAACAACCAGACGTTGAAGAATCCCACTGTCGGGGTCGTAAACGCCGATAGCGAAGGTCACACAGCAAAACTCGGCTTGAAAATAAGGGCGAAACGACCGATTATGAGCAGGATAAAGTGAGCGTACATGTGCAAGACGATGATGATAATGTATCGGTTTTACTTCAAGATGGCGCCACAAATGACAAAACAAATTCAACCGATGAAACCCTTAGGAATTTAGGGAAATGCTTGAAGATGTTGAACCTACCGGCGATGATATTACCCCTAAACTGGCTACTATAGCGGAAAACCGATGGAAAAAAAACTAGTGCCTGAAAAGCTGACATTAATTCAAGAAAAATACAAGCGACCCGCCAATTGCACAACAGTATGCTCACTAACAGTAAACCCAGAAATCTGGGTAAAACTGCCGCAACATCAACAACGGGCGGATTTAAATGTCTCGAAAATACAAGAATCGGTTCGGAAAGCTGCCCTTACATCTCTGCAAAAAGCTCATTCTTTGACTAATACAAAGTCTAACGAGCTAGATGTAAAACAGCTCTTAACACAGCAAGTTGATTCGTTAGCTTTATTGGGCCACATTAGTTATGAGTTGGCCTGCCTTCGCAGACACAAAATAAAATCCGTTTTGAAACCAGAATATGCCCCAATATGTGTTGACGATGGCACGCAAAGTAAATATCTGTTTGACGATGATTTACCCAAACGACAAAAATACGCCAAAGAGGCGAGCCATGTGGGGCTAGCTGTGAATACGAGCAATTCAAGAAACAACAACTATCGGGCGCCAAAAAGCTATGACCAGCGAAATTGACGCCAAACACGTGGGGGCATAATTATAGTGCTGGCACTTCACGGTCGGATTTTTTCAGCGAGAAAAATACCAACCACCTCGCAAGAAATAATCGCTCACTTAAAGACAATAAATTCATCTGTTTCGCCAGTAAGTAAATGGAAAATTTTTATTCCTATTTTATAGGATTATTTAAAACAATTATGTGTCAATTCAAAAGCTGGTCGTATCTCAAATCATTTTTCAGCCTGGACAAGCATAACATCAGATAAAGAGATCTTATCTGATATTCAGGGCATGACCATTGAATTGTCAGACATGCCAGCCCAACATCGCTTTGTCCAAACAAAATTTAACAGTGCAGAAACTGAGATCATTGAGACCGAAATCAACAAAATGCTGGGGAAAGAAATTATTGGGAAAATAGTATCAAATTTTCCTGGGGGTCCTGCACGGACCTCTTTACTATCGACATTTAGAAAGGGACAAAACCTCAGCTTTAGCTAGGAATAAAGGTAATTTTGATGCTAGAATGACCCTCTCTAAAGAAAGTATATTAGAGTTAAAATGTTGGTCAAACAAAGTAATAGATGCATTTAAACCCATTTCACATGGGGAACCTTCACTAGTTATTACAACAGATCGATGCTTCCCTGCAAGGTTGGGGTGCTGAGTGTCAGAGTATAGCCACTGGTGGATTGTGGTCACATTTTGAGGCAAACGAACACATAAACTATTTAGAATTATTAGCTACCTTTTTGGGCTTGAAAACGTTTGCAAAAACAAGACGTAACCTACATATAAGGCTAAATGATAGACAATACGTGTGCAGTCGGCATTATTAACAACATGGGTACAAGCCATTCTCCTAAATGTAATATTTTAGCCCATCAGGTCTGGAGTTGGTGTATTGAGAGGCAAATATGGATAAGTGCTGCCCATATATCAGGGCGAGATAATTTTAGTGCGGATTTTGAATCAAGAAGAAATGAAAAGGCATCGGAATGGATGCTAGATAAACTACGTTTAGCCAAAGCATTAAAAGACTTAGATTACTCATGAACACCAGGTATTGACCTATTTGCCTCAAGAATAAATAAACAATTCGATACATATGTTTCATACAGACCAGACCCACAGGCATCAGCAGTAGATGCATTTACTCTAACATGGAGCCCGCTCATGTTTTATGCTTTTCCTTCTTTCAGTCTTATTGGGACTGTTTTAAGCAAGATCAAGGAAGACAAAGCAAGGGGGGTGGCTGTGCTAACAAATTGGCCAACACAACCTTGGTATGCGAAAGCCCTTTCCATGGGGGAAAACCACCCATGCATTTACAAGCATCAAAAGACATGTTGATACTTCCCAGCCATCCAAACGAGACACATCCATTGTTCAAAAAACTGTCACTGATGATTTGCCTCTTATCCGGGAAAGTTTAGAGCTCCAAAAGAGTCTACGAAAGAAATTATAATGGCTTCTTGGCGTAAAGGCACTCAGAAACAATATAAATCATATCTTTTACGATGGGAGGAATATTGTAACCGAGAAAATGTTGCACCTCATAATCCTGGGAAACCATATGCTATCGAATTTCTTAAGGAACTATATGATTCAGGTGTAGGATACAGTGCTATAAACACAGCGCGATCAGCACTATCGTCAGTGATAATACCCACGGCAGGGATTCCATTTGGGAAGGACCCTTTAGTTTGCCGGTTTCTAAAAGGGGTATTTGAACTGAAACCTTGCCTCCCAAAATCGCTGAAATTTGGGATGTAAATAAAGTTATTTGTTACCTACAACAGTTTACTCCAGTTTCTGAAGTCAGTTCAAAAGATCTTACAATGAATCTAGCTTGCCACTTTATTGTGTTTACTAATGGGACAATGGTGTGAAACAATACACAAGCTAGATATGAACTTCATCCAATTGGAAACGGAAAAATGCATTATCACAATTAGAGAAGTTTTAAAACATGCTAAGGCTGGAAAACACCAAGTGCCTTTGGAACTTCGTTCGTACCCAAGGGACAAAAAAGTTTGTGTGTTAGAGTACCTTAAAGAATATATCAAACGAACTACTGTTCTTAGAGGTGAACAATCAAAACTATTTAATTGTGAGTTTCGTAAAGCCTCATAAAGCGGTAACCAAAGACACCATCGCCAGAAGGGTCAAATCAATACTACAGCAATCGGGAATTGATACAGATAAATTTACGTGTCACAGCACTCGGGCTGCATCAACGTTGTGTGTCAAAGCAGCAGGACTTAATTTAAAACAAATAATGCAATCTGCTGGCTGGTCCAATTCCTCTACCTTTGCAAAGTTCTATGATAAAGATATTGAAACTGAAAATTTTGGTTCAACAATTCTCAACACAGCAGATGTTGAAACAGTAACAACAGTTTAAGTAGCTATAATGTAGTTGGGTTACTAAAACAAACACATTTTTGTTTATCCATTCATGTGTTGGAGTGGGTTCTTCACGGTCGCAGGACTTTGAAATCTCATGTGACTCCGTAGTGACGTGACTGATGACGTAGTAGAATTCTAAGATTAAACGAGACTTACCCATAAGTTGAAGTTTGATTGAGATTCTAATAGTCATCAGCCAGGAACGAAGGAGTCACAAACCCAGGTACTCGGTACCATGCCCTTCCCTCCCGTGACTCTTCGTTCCTCATTCCTGCAACCGTCCACGTTAAAAACTGATCAGCGAAGCACGCACGCGCTTCTCATGTGACTCCTTCGTTCCTGACTGATGACTAGTAGAATCCCAATCAAACTTCAACTTACAGGTAAGTCTCGTTTAATTTTAGAATTATGCATAATATTATAGATGATCGAAAAATTGAACTGGGTCAACAATTAAACAACTCGTCAAAACACAAGCATTGGACATTATTATACAGAGTGTCCCAAAAAAACAAACTATTGAGATAACGTATTGTTAGAATTTAAATGTCTCAACATTCTGCTGAACTCACAAGTGCATAAAAGTTTGACATAAGTAAATTTTATGCATAAAGAAGTGTTTAAGAGAGGATGTCCACAAAAATCAAACATAAGGCGGCCACGACGGAAAAATCGATTTTGCTCAAATTTTGCCCAGATATACCTTATTATATCGGAAAATGCACCATATATTTTTTTAGGTCAAATGCTTTTTTAACTTTGGGAAAATGCCGTTTTAACAAGACCACCCTAAATCGCCATTTTGTCTGGGAAAATATGCGCCGATTTTACCGACAAATTTCACCACGACAACCGTTTCTAATCGATCTAAAACCCTAAAAATCTTGTTTTCGGTTATTCAAAGGACCGGGTACGTGACTTACAGGAAATCTGAGTTACTTTTAAGAATAGAAATAATCGTAGTTTTCGAGCACACTATCTTACCTCATTTACGATACCCTCTTAACAAAACCGATTTTCACCATGGGATAAAGCTCCAAATCGATCATGCTTCTACTAGTTGGCTCTTTAATAAACAAGCTTTCAATTGACGTAAATACTTCTTTGGGCAAATGAATACGCGATAAACGACAGCGCGTTGAAATCGTCCGTTTTTGACGCCTTGCAAGTCAAACGCTGTTAATTTACATACCGTCGAAGTAAACAATTTAATCAAGTATTTTAAGTATTTTACCTTTTGATAAGAAGATATATTCTTGAATGGAGACTTTTTGCCTTGCTAAGTTTAAAATTGGTCCAGAAATCCCGATATATTTGTGAAATATCATCATATACAGGTATTTTGAGATATATTTATCCTATACATATTGTTGTCAGTTGCATGATAACTTCAGATCACTGTTCAATATTGTCTACTTTTAATAGCGCTAACAAACAAAGCGATGAGCTGTTTAGGGATTATATTTGTTACTAAATTTACCAAAATAATTAGAACTACAACTGCTGTTTTCAGAGGTTTTGTTCCATTTTGTCCATATTATTAAATAATGTACCAGTTATGTATCGACTATAATGTTTACCAAGACGTAAGTTAATTATTAAGCAGGTGTTAGCGTGCGTGTACATGAAATGAACGTTTATAATGTTTATCAATATAAGGAGTTTTTATTTTTAGTTTACCAGCCCTTATATTTGAATAGCCGAATTCATATTAGGGACGCGAAACTTGTCTTAGACGGAAAGTCGTCTGTGAAAACCCGCCTGAATATGAATTTAGGGACGGTAAATTCGAATTTAAGACGAGTTTCCCGTCTAATACGAGTTTCCCGTCTCTATAATAGTGAATTCGGCTAATGTGTGTTAAAACTGCAAGGTAATGCATTAAATCTCATTAAAATCCCACAGACCACAACGATTATACGTATTGATTGTTTCTTGACGATAGTAGACGCGTACGCATACATGTTGCGTAAGAGGTTATTTCGCTGGCCTCAGAATGACAAAACGTAACAAAGCTTTACACTAACCCTATTCCAAACACCAACTTTATAACTTAAATCCCTACCATAACCCTTGCTCGTTATTAAATAACATACCGTAGTAAATAATTTAATCACCATTTCTAAGTCTTTTACTTTTTCGGGACAAAAAACTACTTGAAAAAGACCAGGGCTTTAAAAATTATTTGAAGTAGATAGTTATGATAAGACAGGGGTGGCGCCAGGGCCGCCCTTGCAGGGGGGGGGGGGCAAAGGGAGCAATTTTCTCCGCGACCCCAGCTCAAGGAGGGCCGGCAAATACAAATTTGCAAGGGGGTAAAAAGTTTGTCGACGGAGGGGTGGGAGGGGAATTATTGTGGTTCACCGGGGCCCCAAAGATATAATTGGCCCTGGGCCCCCATATTTCACTGAGCTGGCCTGGGCTGCGCCAGTAATTCTCCGACGGGGGAAGTCATCGGTGCTCTCTTTCGTTCTTTGGCAATTGGCATTAAAACCACAAGAACTACCGACAAGTGACCAGGGCCGGATTAACGTCGCGCGAGGCTCGTGGCAGATTTTAGCGCGAGGCCCCAACCCCCTCCCCCCCCCCACTCTCCGCCTTGT